CAAGTCAGTCAAAAAAAAATGCTTATCACTTTCCTTCGTGTCGATATATAATTATACAGGTTTACATGTTCACGAACCTCTTACATGTACTACATGTAATTTTCGAAATACTTTATATGGATATAAAAAATATACTAGACGGGTACGTTTTGTACTTGTGCATGAAAAATACACGTAATTCCAACATTAGTAAATTGAACTTGCAAAGATACCTCAATACGAAAACGTACATATATTTTTTCGTTACATACTAGGTACCTGTATTTGAACTTTGTAATTGTCATAATTATTTAATTTTAACACTTTAATAATTATAGTTCAAAAGTGAAGCCAAGGTCATCATGTGTCGGTAATCATCCAACTGTTTCGAAGATATTGCGGATGTAGATGTATACTGTCTCCATGGTCACGGTATACCTGAGTATATACCCCCTACATTCGATGCCCTTTAAGTTACATGTACCTCGTCTGGGCACGTTATCAATGAGAAATTCAATTATTTTTTTTTTTTTTGACCTTTGAATTTGGAAACGTCATAGTTCTTTGGTACATTGCACGAGGAGTACATGTTCATGTAATTTGCTGCCACCTGAATGCCGAAAATCAGTATAGATTTACGAGCGAGCGAGAGAGAGAGAGAGAGAGAGAGAGAGAGAGAGAACACTGTATGTTATTTGAAATTAAAATCGCTACAACCGGCCCATAGAAAACTATTTCGAGTACGGAGAGGAGGGGGGGGGGGGCTCATCGAAATAAAACAATATTGGAAAAAACAAACAAACATCGGGCGTTATTATCGTTATTTCATTTACGTAATCATGCGAGTTTACAGTTATTGAATTCTTGTTTTGTTTGTTTAGTTTCTTGTTTTTATTCATTTTTAAACATTTAGAATTTTGTTTGTTAACATGTCGCTCCAGTATGTACATGTACATGTATGTAGTGGGGCGGGGGGGGGGGGGGGGGCATGAACCAGTAAGGAACACAAACTATTCAAGTGATCATTAACATGTATTTGAAAACAACTTTAAAAAAAATAATATATTCTTATCAGTGGACCAGTTATTAGTTTTTGTTTGTTTGTTTGTTTTGGTTTTTTGATTGTTGTTGTTGTTGTTTTTTCATAAGTCTTCCGTTAAACTCGCCTAATAAAACAATGATTTATAGCATGGAAGTAAATTATAAATGATCTGTAAAACGAAACTCAAGTTACACTGTATGAGAATTTTTAGTGATTATCACGACCTACATATACATGTAATGGACGTCAACTTAGCTTAAATATAAACTGCTAAATATCGTGTACATTGTACAGTATGTCTCAGCTATTTCATAGATAAGATCATAATTCAGTTGGTTGTCTTTCAAACATTTAAATTACGATTTAGCAATTGCAATTACAATTGGAAGTTCCAACTGATTAAAAATCGCATGAATAATGTAAACAAATGAATTTGAAAGATTTTTTTTATTAAGATACTCTTATCAATTTCACTCCATCCGATACATCGAAAATAAATTTAACACCTTCTTTTTCTTCTTTTTCTTTCGAGATTGATTAGCTTGTAAGTTAAGAAAAATAAAAGTGATAATTCTACGTCGAATGTACGGTGAAATTCTTGAAAATTTATCAACGATCTCCATATTGTCACTTACATGTACATGTTTCGATCGCCATAAAAACAATAATGATCGATTTCACTACTGTACAGTATTTGGAATATACAAGGGGCGGGGCTTACTGGCGGCAAGATTAAAGCGGGGTCCGCTTCACGCATGAGTGCGTAAAGCGAACCCGGAAAGCGAACGCCGGGTTCGCTCTAGCGGACCCAGAGCTGACCCCGAGCGAACGCAGAGCGAACCCGAAGCGCACCCAGAGCGATCCCAAATTTTCTGATAGCGGACCCGCAGCGGACCCCGAGCGAACCCAGGAAGCGAACCCGGGGTGCGCTTTGGGTTCGCTCTGGTGTTAGGTTGTGTCCGGTCGGTACTGTATGTACAATATGGAAAAATAATAACAAAACATATGCTAAATACATATAGTTTAAATTGTATCCCTGAAAATCAAAGGTTAGGGATAAATATGTTAAATATATCATTATCAGTATCAAAGTCAAGAAAAAATTCCTGTAAATGCTCAGCATATTTTTAATTAAGAGATGTTATGATGGCTATTGAAAGGTAAAATGTCGAGCTTTGTATAGGGTTCTAAAGGGGCGTAAATGTGTATATATATTATATATGTATTAAAACAATGTTATTTGATCAATTTTAAGATAGCTGATGAAAATTGTTTATTCCACTCCTGATCATATCTAGATCTTGTAACGGAGAACACTCTTCAAAAATATTGCATATGATGTAAACCTATGTATCGACCATGACCCAAGGTCATTTTAGCAAGTTCAAGGTTCTTAATTGTCTCAAAAAAGTAAAATGTTTTTTAAATAGTCGTGAACTAAATATGTCATTACCTTGACTCAAGGTCATTATGGCAAGTTCAAGGTTACTGACAAAAAAAAAATGTAAACTTTGGTAAGGTCTTTATTTTTTATGAATAAAAATTGAATGCTCATATTTCATTGGTTTATCACAATCTACATTTACTTTTTTTTTTGGTTCTCAAACATATGAGTACACCCATATTATGTCGTCAAGTTGTGCTATGTAAAATTTTATTTTAGTGTTTTGTGCAATTAGGTATAATGTACAAATAGTTTTAAAGAATTTTATAAAAGGGGGAAAAGGCTATAAGAATAAAGAAAAACTATATTACAGCTGGCAAAAAAGAAAGAAGTAAAAGTTCTTTTCTCGTTTAATTATATTAAAAGTATGTTGACCGATATCCTCGATTTTTTTTTTCAGATTGACTGATTGTGTATTTATTTAACAACTTATTAAATTGAATAAGCTTGTGAAAATATTTTTACTGATTCTGAGATTTTACAGAAAAAAATAAAACAAATCGATGTCAGTTAATGAAACTGTGATACGAATATTGGATCATTATCTATTATCATTTAAATATTTAAATGTTTTCTTGTAAATCGATTTTTGTACAACATATTAGAAATTCGATAATCATTTTTAATTTTATGACATCACAGTTGAATTGTAATTCTCAATTATTATATTAATAAAATTAAAAGACATAAATTTTATAGTCTATAAACACAATTTGACATTTTAGTAAACAATTTAGACAGTTGAACATCTTACAGATTGAAAAATACATTCATTAAAGATATGAATCACCTTATTAAATTGTTATGGAATAATAACTGATAAACTAAATAAACTAATGAAAAGCCGATGTAAAAGTTGTTGTATTACGACTGAAAGTTCACTGAAAGGTGACTGAAAGACGAGAGAAAGGGAACGGAAAGGGAACTGAAAGATAACTGAAATGTGTCCGCTGAATGGTGACTGAAAGGTACCTGAATTGTGGCTGAAAGGTCACTGAAATGTACCTGCCATTCAGTTATGGATGGTCACTCATTCAGTGGCTAAATGGCTACTGAAAAGTCACTGAAATACGCCTTTCAGTTTTAACTGAAAGGTCTTGTTCCTTCCTGTGCTGCAAGACGTGTACTTGTATATTTTAATACCTCTTATAATTATAACCACACAAATGACACTGCAGTATAATGAATTTTGAATTAGTATAAAGAAAAGATTTTGTCCATGTTTGTATTTGCATAGATCTAAATGCAATGTTATTTACTTTTTTCAAACATTTCGTATTTTCAAATCAAGACCTTTACCGATTGCAATGTCACTTTTTGTGGCCACATGTATACTTATGAAAACTTCTAACCCGTCACTCTAGTTTTTTTTTCAATATTATAGCTTCTGTCGAATACGGCAGTAAAACACCAATATTTACACTAGATTTCTAACAGCAATATTCGATTATTCAAAACCAAAAATATTGAAATCCCTGAAAAATCTATTGAACCCTGACGATTTCATAGTGTAAGAAAATTTGTTTAGTTTGATTTTTGAATTGGGTTCTTTAAACAGTTCTTTTATCAAAACATTAAACATTTTGAATAAAATGCAGCATATGCTCACAGAGTGAGCGGGAGAACCATTATTTTGATGCCAGATGGTTGAAGCATAAAGGAGATTGGTTTTTTGCAACATTCTCTGTTTTTATCGCTATTTTTGTTACCATGAAAAGTTTTAATTTTTTATTCCAAGTATTTTTGTATTAATTCACACACATAAAAATTTCTAGTTGCTAGACAATTGCATAATCACCAGTCAGGTGTCAATGTGTGTTACCGAAAGTTTCAAGTGACCGGAAGTGATGCTGCCTTGAATCCTCAAGAGTCAAGACCACAAGTAACCACTGCTCTTCAAGATCGTAATGATTTCGCATATGAGAAATCTGGATTTACAGCTCTAGAAAAATTATTTGTAGTCACTGGTGGAATAAGGTTCTTCCATTAATTTCACCATTGTTTCAATCAAAATTAGTTAAAGAATTTAAAAATTATATAAATCATGATAATAAAATGAAAATTACATGTAAATTGTTTTAACCAATCTTTAGATGATAACTGTTTCTACATATAACATAGCATAATGCAAGATTACACTGCAACATGTAGCTTTCATTTACTTGGCGGGTTAGGAGTTTTGATTAGTATAAATGTTTTAAACTTTCCTACGAAACCTCACCTTGTTTGAAGTTTTGTCATCCTATTTAGTTGAATAGTTTGGTATGATTTTTTTTCCAGAAAACTATCAATGGATTTTCGAAAGAACATAATTACTTTAGACAGGACGGAATTACCTGATAACATGCTGTTTGACCATTTTATTACTTACATTCATCTTTCCCAGCAAATATGTCAAGATAGAATCCTATGTCATTGGGATTTCGAGTCCCGTCTGAGGTGAAGCCGATCGTTGCTGTAGGTCCTGTTACTTTTGTAGTTTTTGTGCAGTCATCACAGCAAGAAATTGTTGTAGGTCCACCACCTCCTTGGTAGTATTTTTAAAATTGAAAATGATGAAATTAATTTGTGAAAATCTTTGGATCAGACAATTTAATACCTTCAATCATAATTGCTTCAATTTAACAAATCAATATCTTTTATAAAGACGAAAAATATGTATGTTTATCAAAAGTACCGTCCCATAATGATAGTTCGTCGCCATTCCCACATTTTAATCGTTGTCCAATGACAAGGCTTGCAGATGGATCAGCTGCTGTGAAAGTCCATGTACATGACAGCAGTCTGTTGAAAAATTAGTTCTTCACCCATCTTTATTACTTGAGGTTCATTGCCCCTCTGATTAATGACTTTATTCCTTTATAAAATAGTCATAAGAAGGGACAACTTCTCTAAAATAGACCCCTTTAGGTAGGCGAGTGCAACCAACAGAACCGAACACAGGAAAAGAAGAAATGCATATGAGCATTTTGATCAGAAATTAGATTTATTTTTGAGAATCATATATATGTTAAGTATATTAAATGAAAATCAACTAATACTAATATTTACTGGCACTGAAAGATAACTAAGCTTATACTATATAATATATAGTAAATATTGTATTATTTTGATCCTTAGTATAATAAAACTATATAGCTCGTAATCCTTACTTTCAATGTAGATAAAAACATACAAATGTCTATACTAGCAGTGTTTTGAAACGTTTCTAACCAGATTGATGAATGTGCTTTCACTGATGAAACCATTTATCTAAAACTCAAAAAGTATTTAAGCAAGCAAAAGAAAAAAAAATATTTGAAAAGACTTACGTATTATAGGGTGTCTTGCCATCTCCAAATTGAAAGGTTGTGGTGGTTGAACCAATTTGGATAGAACTTGAGGATGAACACGTAAGAGTTTCCACTGCTGTAAAAAGTTCATCGAGTTGAAAATGGGACGAATAAACAAAATTGTTTTATATTAATTATAATCTCGAAAACTAATACATTTGGGGAAGGATTTAAAGTCTAATGGAACCCCCTGACAAATAATACGATGGTAAACTATAGTTAACTATATTGATAACCTTGGCACAATAGAATCTTTGACACTTTGATTTAATATTAATAGTGATAACTTTGACTGTTTGATCTGCTATAATTATCATTTTGAAAACTTTTATTCACTGAAGAGATAACTTTGAAACATTGATTTACGATAGTTATCATCTGACATGTTACGGTAGCTCAGTCGGTAAAGCGCTCGCTCCGTGATCGGAAGGTCTTGTGTTCGAATCACGGCCGGGACTGACCTAAGTCGATAAAAATAGGTAGCAACTGTTCCTTCGCCAAGCGCTCGGCACTTTGAAGTGAAACTTGCGTGTCCTTCGGATGAGACCTTAAAAACCGAGGCCCCGATTCACGACACTGGTCAATGGCCCTAAGCGCCGAGTAAAGGTCTAAATTTGAAGCTTTTCACCGGTATCTGATGACGTCTCTATATGAGTGAAAAATTCTCGAACGGGGACGTAAAACAACATACAATTAAAGTCAATCAATTATTCTGACATACTTTATATTACTCTGTATAAAGTGATATCTCTTCACATGAAATATACTGAGATAACGAACAGTATTCAAGCTCAGAAGTCCATTAAGCAATACAAAATAGGAGCAGAGCAAGCACGGACCTCCAAAACATCAGAGGTGGGATCAGGTGCCATTGAGGAGTGAGCATCCCCTGCCGACCGGTCACGCCCGCTGTGTACTCCTTGTCATGATCGAGAAATAATGGAAAAATCCGTCGACAATTCAGTGTGTAAATAATACCTAAGAATTATTATGTAAAACGTCAGTCAGCATTTGACTCAATGATAAATTGTATATGCTGACAAGGTCATTGTATCGATCATAGAATTTACGAAATGATGACTTTAAACGAGACTGCTGATATTCTTGTTTCATCAACTTGTTTGTCAATAATTTACCTCGTTTAAGAAATTGTACATAGTAGAGCATGCTCTTGAGTGTCAAATCAACTGAGAGATCACATCTGAATTGATTTACTGAATGAGATTTGTATTGATACTTTCTAATGTGTCATACTAAAAAGATATAACATCGTTCGGACTTCCATTTACTCTAAAATTCATACTACAAAATAGGAATTGAAATGAGATGGTAACATTTTTAATCCTTTCAGAAATATAAAGGCATATTATCATTTTCATTCATTGACAATTACTAAGTTCAAAAAGTATCAATTATACCTCGTAATGTTTTGTCAATGGCTGTGTATTCATACATAATAACATAAACTAGATATTGAATCGTTTGAAGAAATAGAGTCAATTACTTTGAAATGTAATATATTAAATTACAATTACCTTGGAATTTTTATCATTACAATTCCCATTACCATTACTCTCATTCACAAAAGTAATAAATTAAAGTACAATTACTATGTTAAAGTAATGAATTACATAACACATCACATTTTATAATAAAAAACAAATTTTATGACCACTCAATTTTATCTATAAATTAACTTTCTCACACTTTGTGCTCGGTTAATATACTTTCCCTCAGGTCTATAAGTCTGAGTGGTATTTGGATTTTAAACATTTCTAATACGAGGGAAGTTATTGAAAAAAAGTTGATGAAACAAGAATATCAGCTGTCTCGTTTAAAATTGTCATTTCGTAAGTTCTACGGTCGATACAATGACCTTGTCAGTAAATACAATTTATCATGAAGTCAAATGCTGACTGACGATTTTCATACTAATTGTTAGGCCATTATTTTCACATTGAATTGTAGACGGATTTTTCAGTTATTACCCGATTATGACAAGGAGCAAACAGCGGGTTTGACCGGTCGGCAGGGGATGCTCACTCTTCCATGGCACCTGATCCCACCTCTGATGTTTTAGAGGTCCGTGTTTGCTCTGCTCCGAAATTTGTATTGTTTAATGGACTTTTGAGCTTGAATATTGTTCGTTATCTCCATATATTTCATCCATTATCATATTCATGTAGTTTACCAATCAGCAGTTGACAAATAAAGTGGATCAAAACACTTTCAATGTTGTAGTTTTCAAATTGTTCAGTCTCTGATGTTAGTTCCTCTGTTTTTTTTTTTTTTTTTTTTTTTTTTTTTTTTTTTTTTTTTTTTTTTTGTTAAATAAATGATAAAATTTCATATTATACGTCTTATATAAAGTGATCATTTTTTATTAACTGATAATGCTATAAATGTAAAACAAATATGTATTAATAATTTAATGAATTAATTAGCACTTGTAATTAGCTGAGCAGGCATAATCAATGAAACTATAAATTTCAAACAACCAAAGGTGAAAATAACCAGTACATAGATATAGGGTTTGAATTTTGAGGTGACACCTAAGCTACCAAAAATGAATGATGGACAATATATCAGTGTTTATATTTAGCCTTATTTTTCCTTTGTGTCTTCAAGTAGATCATACTGATCTTGTATCATGCTTACCAAGTCCATTTCCCAGAATGAAATTTGTGAAAAGGAAAAAAAAGTTGAAAAATATAGTTCATATTTACCTATACATATATTAATTTCATTTGTTTTGTGGCTTTCTTTGAAACCCAATGATTTCTTTTAATTTTTTTTCTGGCTATCTTCAATTGATTTTATAGCTGTCTTGTCAAGAACAATTATTAAGTATGTCTATCAATCACCATCTAATAAACATTTTTTTTCAAAAAAGGTAAGATATGAGATTTTAATCTGAAGACTTTAACATTATAAAAAATAACCTCTCAGTGACTATCATTTGTTTCAGATTCAATAATAAAGAGGAATTAAAAGACAAAATGAAATTGAATGTAATTGAAAAGTAATGGTCATTACTGAATTTTTTAAAGTAATGCATATGTTTAAAGATAATGAAATGTTGATAAATAGATATTACTTTTAATTTAAACAATATTTTATTCACTGATCTAAAAGTGAATAGGATTGGGCAGCAGGCTCAGCCTATCTTAGCCCGATCCCTAAATCACTTTTGCATCAATATGTGGGCAAAATACCTGCAAATGATCTATGAAGTGTTCCATCTATTCATCTTAGCCTATTAAATGTTATGAATGCTTGATTTGATCACGAATGAAGTAATAGCTGTACATTTCAATTTATTTTATTCTAGATCAAAGGGCAGATTACTCTTTCTGCATAAAAATTCAGAACTCTTTATTTGTAGAGCATAGAGGGCTCCTGAAAATACAAGAAGAGATCGCAAAAGAAGGAAGCTTCAAACACTAAATATCAGGAGCGAGATAAAGAGGTAAAACATACTAAATACAAGAAAAAGGGTTTTTTTTTTTTATTTTAAAGAGCTTGATATCGAAACTGAGCTGAAAAGTCATTGAGTAGACCTGCGGACGGTATATAACCTCACAAAAATCCTGAGCAGGAAAAGATTTAAAAAAAAAACAGACTGATAAAAGCTAATAATAGAAAGAAAAATGTTGCTAAAGTTAGAGGAATATCTACGAAATAGAAAGAAAAAACTTCAAAGAAGTACTAGATAGAGCAAACAGCAAAGGAACAAATAAAAGATGACCTAGAAAAGGACCTGAATAAAAAGGGATGGAAGGAAAAGAAGACCGTAAAACCAGCTACTAGTCAAAGGTATAAAATCATTTTAATATGGAAAAACAGTAGGAATTGATAAAATTCTACCAGGTATTGGGAGCTCTAGGACAAAAACTGGTAAAATATGTATAGAATTTTGCATAAAACATGAAAAGCCATAAGTCGCGGAAGAGAGAATTGTTTATCTAACTACATATACCAAAAAATGGAAATCTTAATTTCTGCAATAGAATGAGGTGCACTGCATTGCATATGTAGCTAGGAAGATTCTTATATGTTACTTTGTATAGAAAAGGAGTTAATAGACAAAATATTGAGAGACAAACCAGCCGGAATTAGATGAATCAGTATCTGCACGGACCAAAAGATTACAATATTCATTATCATAGTATGGAGTGACAATAATCATTTTACATAAACTCCAACAATATTCAAAAATCCTTTATTTCATCTAAAGAGGATATTTACGATTGTCATCATGATTGGGACACTGCATGACGTCTAAAGAACAAATTATTCAAAAACAGCTCATAGATGTACATGAAGAATCATCTGCTGTACAAAAAGGGGTTAAATGAGTTGGCCTCCAATTACTTACACTATTCCTGATAGCTAAAGGCCAGGTAATTAACCAGTCCTTTGATAAAAGAGGAAAAGGAATTCATTGTCCCTTTCTTAAAAATTAGACGAAGTAGACATCGCAGTCTAAAAGATAAGAGAGACAAGACAAAACAGATAAAACAGGGATAAAGATGAGACTTAAAATCTATACCAAGAAAATAAAATTAGACACGAAACAAAAATGTCTGTTTCAATTTTTTGGGTATACAATAACTGAATGCTACAAAATAAATCCCCTCAAACATTACAAATTATGGAGCCATAATCAAAATACAATTTGGACTCTTAGGACCATAGCAAAAAGTGTTAAAAATGGCCTAATAGTTTTTTTAAATGACCTGCTCTACTCCTATACATCTCGAAGAGAAAACTGAATGATCAGTTAAGGAAGAGTATGAAGCCCTCAACCAAAAATTATGTTTTTCATGCTATCCAGGGCAGGGGTTCTTCATAATGGTCATATAGTGAAAATGTACTTTATTGTAGAAAATTTTCTTTACTCCTGCATATCTTCAAAGGAAAAAGATATAGTTCGCTATCAGTTTTTCATGACATCAAAAGACACGGGTCCTTACTCTGGAGAAAAAGTAGATTAAAATGGTAATATATTGAAATGTTCATCTTCAAGGAAAACTGAATGCTTGGTTATGAAGAGAATAAAGCTCTCAGCCAAAATTGAAAATTGTGTTTTTCATGACCCCCATTTTTTAAAAAAATAAAGTTACAGACGAAAATGAACAACAGACCAAATAGCAATATCTGATAAATTTAAATTCAAACGATTATAATCTTATTAACAGCAGTGTCTTTATGATGATTTTAATATTTTTAGTATTGTTTAAAATTATATTAATCTTAAAAATCCTACTATTGTTTGCTCCAACTTCTGATGTCGTATATTTACTAAGACGTTATAATACCGGCTTGGTATTTTTATGGTGTGGTCATAATTTAGAAAATTCAATTGAGTCGAAAGCGCGATGGGTTAGAATTACCATTTACTGATTAGAACTTGAACAAGATATATACATGTATCGTTAAATATTTTCAAAACCATGAATGCTAAATCATAGAGTTGAAATCAATCTTTTAATAAATATGATGTTACAAAGATAAATTTGAAAGAAACATAATGTTATTTAGTCACATGTTTTTAGAATAGCTGATTAACTATTAATATTTTGCTACACGTTACAGAGACAAAAATGTTTATATCGTAACAATCTGCAACTAAGAATAATTATATTTTGTTAAGTGATAAGAGGCCATAAGGGACGGGATGCTTAATCTCTGATACTTTATATTTCTTTTTGAGAGAAAAATCAGGGAAATCTGTGTGCATTTAAATTCCCGCGAGTAGACACATTAAAGGACTCTGTACCATGTATCATTATTTGAAACAATGTGATATACAATACATGTGCATATATATAGAAATGCATGGATCTTTTTTATCATACGAAATCATAACTTGTTGCAGATAATCAATTAACTTCAGTAACATTTTTGTTTTAAATCGCACAGAAACCATGACAAAGAAATAGAACTTAAACTGAAAGTGGCATTGGGACCTAATATGTCCGATTCTAATTTCGAGTGAGATAATTAAGACCATTACATTTTCGACATTACGAAATGAATTAAACATATATTAAATAGTTGTTTCTCGTAAAAAATTAACTTCCGTATCATATGTTACGTAATAAGAGGGGTATAGGGGGTCAGAAAGTTAAATCTTTGACGGTTTATACCTCTAAAAGGAACATATTTTGAACATTGTAAGATTTATTGAACAAAAGATGTTTAGAATGATGCTCTAAACAAAATTGAATGTAATTAATTTTCGCCAAAGGGAACAATGAAATTTTGAAGGGGTAGAACTTAAATATTTATTTTCTACATATCTCAGAATAGGAAAGGAATCTCTGAACAGATGTTGAACAAGAATTGTTTAAAATCATTACTGTTTTCATATTATATAAAGAAAATGTGGTTGACCCTTTAAATCAAGGGTTTCAAGGAGTCGAAAGTCTGCAATCTTTAGCTCCTTGACTCTCAATATTTTGTAACAATTACTTAGGGATAAATGTTGACCTAACCGATGATGATACATTTATTTTGATTTTTAGGGGGCAGAATGCTTAATCTCTTTTTCTTAATATATATCTCAAATGTAAAATATTTTGGAATGCATATTGAACAAAAGATGTTCATAATAATGTTCTAAGAAAATGGAATAAAATCAGAGGAAAAGCACATTCTTTAAATAAAATATATTAATGTTCATCATCCCTCTGCTCACTCGTATAAAATCCTTTCTTAGCGTTTAACATCAATAATAATAATAATAATAATTTATTTGCTTGGTGACTTGTGTAATACATCATGAAATAGTTCATATTAAATATAGAAAAGACAAGTACTTTACACCCGGCCCTTTGGACCTGTAAGCCACCTGTATTTAAATCTTACATTTTCCCTCACGGACTAATTATGTATGTACAATTGTACATCGTGTAAATCGTTAACATTTATTTTGCTCCTGAGAACGATTGTAATGACTTTAAATACAATATACATAGCAGCTGATTATATATAACATGAACAAGAATGTTTTGATATCTAAAGAAAATCATCCGAGTAACCGGTTACCAAGTAGTGCTGTCAAATCGGAGGATTTTTAGTAACCGGTTACTCGCTTACTTTATCGATCGAGTAACCGGTTAATCGGATGTTTTCGATGCATGTAGCGGTATGTTTATCTTGTACTGCGGACTAGCACAGGTAATTATAATTAAATCAAACCTTCAAAACATGTAATTCCCTTTGCAATCATAGCCATCAATTAGTTAAACAAATCGATCGCATTTGTAAAACGCTAGATCTTACTAAACTACACTAACATTAAATAACGGTAAATAAAATGGTAGCATTATGAACAAAAAAACATTATCGACGATTAACCGGGTATTCGTTGACAACACTACTTTCAAGATACCTCAAATTATGACATAAATGACAAGTTCTGTTGACATTTTATAAAGGAATGATAGTCATTTATGCCGGTTAGAGTTGTCTCTATCATCAGAATATCATTGAACCTTAATGAATATCTCAATCAAAATCATAACACATTTCATCTAAAATCGGACGGAAGACCTCCCTGTTCGCAACAAGATCTCATTCAGTTATAATAAATAATTTTATTATCATCATCATTGTTCATTTTCTTCACATGGCCTTCTGGGAAAGAGAGTGACTACAATATGAAATATTTGTTTTACATACTTGTGTAGTTATAGGTTTAGCCACAATACGGGATAAGACTTTTAAATGGGAATATATAAGAAAATACCTTCTTCACAAAACTGATGTAGTTTTTTCAGCTTAAGGTATGTCACTCGTGAAATTAGTTATATCAAGGATTTTTTGAGAAGTATATTTTAAATAAGTACTCATATAGCATGACTCAAAATCACAAAGAAAATGGGGGGTCAGTGTGCATCCTACCGAACTAGGGTATAATTAAGTTGACCTTTTTGCACTTAAATTGTAACTCTTTGGTCAATCACTTTAATCTTTATCATATTTTATCAGATGTAATATTGGCAATAAATATAATCTTATTTTACGTAAAATAGTTTAAATGATATTTATCATTGAACAAATCATGCAAATTAATGCGCATAAATTATTGTGTGACCTTTTTGCACTAAAAAAGTATCATATCTGGGGTATAAAATATCTAAATAGGCAATAAAATATTTTCTTGTATCAAACTTTTTATGACTTAAGTGCTGATCGGTTGGAAGTATCTTGTTGTTTAAAATTATGAAAGAAAAAGTTGGGGTCAGTGATGTAAATTTTGAGATATTGGTCAAAATTTGCGATTTTCAGGCAAAAAACGGTGTAAATTTTATTTTGACTTCTTTAATATATCTTTATTTCTTGGCGAAGTCTGTTGAGTGAATGTATAAAATTTATTCTAAAAATATAAATTGAGACCTATATTTAATATTCCTAGCATATCATAAAGGAAAATTTTCTCTAAGTAAAAATATGTGGGGCTATAGTTCCAAGACATTAGATTTAACAAATGTGGAGATTTGAAGAATTTTCTTCTAAATATCCTTCCACCACAAGAAATAGTCCCTCATAAATCTTGCTTCTTTATGAATTTCTGAGCAGTTTTTTCATTGAATGTTGAGTAATTTGCATTGTTTAATTTAAATATGTTACAAAAATTGAATTGTAATAAACAGTTTTGAAGCTAAGGGTTCTGACTGAACTTTTCTAAAAAGCTGACGAGTGACATACCTTAAAAGAGAATATTAAAGTTTAAAACTCTCTTTACCTCCTTTGCTCAGTTTCCATGCATTCAACAGGCTGGTGAAGATAAAAATGGTGCAGGGTCTAGTCGTCATCGAGTACTAGTGTTCTAATTTATAAATAAAAAGAAGAACTCTGTCGTATTAACTAAGAATAAGATAAAATGTAAAAATTTTGTTTAATATATAATTATATTGTCAGAAATTGTAAACGAAAAAAAAACAACTGAAAACTACTGAGCTGGTTAGATTGGAGTACCAAACATTTGCAAACTGGTTGGTTATCATTACCTCTCTCTCTCTCTCTCTCTCTCTCTCTCTCTCTCTCTCTCTCAATATTTCATAAACTTTTGTTGTTTTATGTTTCTTATAAATTTTGTTAGCACAGCCTATATATGTTAATTTTATCGCATTAGTCCGCGACTTTTTGAAAACCTCTCGTACACACCCACACCCACCCTCACACCCTCACACACACCCTCACACCCACCCTCTCACACACACACACACACACACACCCTCACACACATACACACACACACACACACACACACACACACACACACACACACACACACACACATATATATATATATATATATATATATATATATATATATATATATATATATATATATATATATATATATATATATATATATATATATATATATATATATAAGTTTACTAAAAATTTTATTGTAATCAAAAAGTGTCCTCCATCAGTGATAGCGAGATGAGAAACTTAATACTTTAAACGAAGTTATCATCGACAATTGCAGGGTAATAAGGAAAATTCAGAACCTTACATGCTTTTCAATAACGATAGAAGTATGAACTTGTTCCAATTTAAGTATAAACATTTATTTAAAGATGAATTTATAAATATATGCATGTAAATATTATACCGCTGATAAACGGGCTACAGTGTAGGTATACATGGTGCAATGACGTTGGTAAGAAAATAAAAATTTTAAATCTCGAAAAAACTTGCTGATTTATTGCACAGCTTGTCAGTTTTGATAACATTAACTAGTATATGATTATAGCAGAAAGGATAATTATTTAGAAAATTAAGATCCTGTCACCTTTTCATACTATAGGTATATATTATTATCAATTACCTCCCTTTTGTTTCAATGACGATTCTAGTCGCTCAAGTATTTACACTATGATTTAATTTAAGATATTTAAATAGATTAAATTAACAAAGTTCTGTAATTTTACATTTGTGAATAAGTTAATACGTGTGTTTAGATGACAAATTATATAAATATATCGTGCAAAGGAGTTTCTTCGTCTTCGCTCGTCTCCCTCGCCATCATCACTGTTAACAGGTTAATTTACCATGTTTACATATATTTTTCGTATTTTTTCTTGCTAACAGTTCAAAAAAAGGATGAATATTCAACTTCATACTGATAAAATCAGTGATCTGGTCGTTCATAACGCAGAAAATTTAGTTTGCATCGCGTACATTTTAGTAAGATTAACGTAAACAGCAGATCAGCCATTGTCGCATATGACGTAACGTAGTCACGTGATCGCCATCTAATTAACTTGTATTTTTAACTGAAGGGTTTTTATTTTAATCAATAGTGTTTAATTACCGCGTTATCTCCACAATAAAAACAGGATAATTATACACTATGATCATGAGGGACATAATATGCTCTTAATTTCAAGTAATTGAAAAACACGAGACAATTAAGTCCTTTAAGAGTTGTTGTAAAATGAGCTTTATGAATAAACATTAAATTTCATTACAACGTGTATTGGTAACGATCCTCTATTAAAACTCATGTTCAAACTAGAAATATGTCCATAGGACATGAATACCCCGCCGAGGGTATAATAGTAATGCAACATTTTAACACAAATTGAGAAAAGTGAGGTCAAGGTCGAAGGAAAGGTCAAGGTCAAAAACTGTTGATGCAGTTGAAAAGGTTACATCAGTATGTATTAGCATATGAAGTTTGATAAAAAATATTATGAATGGTTTCTTTAAAACTGAGCTAAACACTAATTTAAGAAAAGTGAGGTCAAGAAAAGGAAAGGTCAAGGTAAAAAATATTGATGCAGTTGAATAGCTCTCATCAGTATGTATCAGCATATGAAGTCTGACACTAATTTAAGAAAAGTGAGGTCAAGGTCAAAGGAAAGTTCAAGGTAAAAAATATTGATGCACTTGAAAAGCTCTTTTCAGTATGTATCAGCATATGATGTTTGTTAAGAATATCTTGAATTGTTTCATTAAAACTGAGCTAAACACTAACTTAAGAAAAGTGAGATCAAGGTCAAAAGAAAGGTCAAGGTCAAAAAATGTTGATGCAGTTGAATAGCTTACATCAGTATGTATCAACATATGAAGTTTGATTACACTTTTTTGAATGATATCTTTAAAACTGAGCTAAACACTAATTTTAAAAAAAGTTAGGTCAAGGTCAAAAGAAAGGTCAAGGTCAAATATTGTTGATGCAGTTGAATACCTTACATCAGTATGTATCAACATATGAAGTTTGATTACACTATCTTGAATGGTATCTTAAAAACTGAGCTAAACACTTATTTAAGAAAAGTGAGGTCAAGGTCAAAGAAAAGGTCAAGGTAAAAAAAATGTTGATGCAGTTGCATAGCTCTCATCAATATCTATCAGCATATGAAGTTTGATAAAAATATCTTGGATAGTTTCTTTGAAACTGAGCTTTGAACAGAGCTAAACGCAAAGTGTGACGGAAGGACAGACGGAAGGACAGAAGGACGGAAGACGGACATGACAAACACTATATGCCCCAGCCATATTCATGGCGGGGCATAATAAGTGTATATCACTTCCATTCTCAATGACCATGTAGTGTATGACGTAGTGTAGGATAGCGCCGCGAGAATTCCATCGGCATCGAAAGCAAGTTTTTGACTTGCCTAGATAGCCGTGCAGTCTAACGCGTTGTTCCTGTACTGCTAGGAGACAGATACTGTAGGTCGAGGGTTCAACCCCGGGCTGGGGCGAAAGTGGGTATCCTTATAAAAGTGAATTTCTTCGCGCTTTCTGTATTAATATTTCTTCACTAAGGGCAGTTATGTTAGTTTAAGAGTTTATGAATATATATACTTGTATCTTCCTTAAAGCTATCGCGCAAGACTATAAAGCGTTATGCGTATTACATGCGATACGGTGTCGGCACTATTTCTCTTCTCTACTAATATCTCAATTCCATATATAAGACGTTTGGTCATCGTCACGGGCTGATACACACTGACCTAAAAGGCCTAGTGTATACATTGATAGGTATGTCAAACCTGTACTGTCTATGGGGATTTCTATTTCATTCAAGTAATACAAAATGTAGCACTAATCGTAAATCAGAAATGAGTAAAAATAATAATTAGTAAAAAAAAATAAATAAAATCAGGATTGAGTAAATAATGTTTTGACACATACTAATAACTTACACGTTATTACAATCGAACTGCAGTGAGAGACACACATCGAACACTACGAAAGTGGACAATCTGTGGAGACAGTACAAGTTTGATGGATCAAACGGTAAGTAGAAATAAACATAAAAACGATTAGAATAAAGTATCCAAATTCTTTTACGAAATACATCCAGAGCACATTCACGCCCTTCGAATTCCGACATGTTGACAAGTCACTTGACAATCCAGTTTTGTTAAAAATAGATAACATAATTATTTCCATTTTCATGCGCATGCCTCTCAAAAGGATCGGTTATTATTTTTTTATTCAATGAATATATTCAATAATTCAAATACATCCTCCTGCTAATTATTTAAAGGTTTTGCAAGAAGTATTTAAAACAAAGAGAAAATGGTCTGTCTGTCTTTTATGTTCTACACATTTTAACTAGTCTGTATGATATTCTGCAGAACTCCGGGGGGGGGGGGGGGGGCAGAATTATATATATAACATGAATGTGAGGGTGCATGTTTTCAGATGAATTCTTGCCTTTCTTTCATTCTTCAATGGGGTTAATAGGCAAAATGTAAGCCGGTATATTTGAGGAAATTTCACTTATATATATATATATATATATATATATATATATATATATATATATATATATATATATATATATATATATATATATATATATATATATATATATATATATATATAAGCGTACAATTTAAACGTACAAAAATCAGATGTCGAAATAAAGTATAAGCTTGGACACCTGAATTTGTGTAGAATTTCAATCACTTTTATTTATAAAGGTTTCTGGGAACATGATGGAATCTGAGGAAGAGACTTCAGATACAGAGGTGATAATTTTTATTTTTTTATTTTTATTATTTTTTTTTTATGGTCTGCCCTCTGAAAAAGGATCTCTGTCAGAGTTTCAATTTCATTTAAAAAAAAAAAGAAGGCCACCAACCCTGAACCCCTTTGAAAAGATGTAAACTGATATAACTTTGTAGTCATTGTGTGTAGAAAAAAAAAGAAACAAACAAACAAAAATCATCCTGCATCTGATTGATTACAGTGTATGAATTCATCTATGATTTTTTTTTAAAAATCAATTTCTACAAAAAAGTAGCTTCTGTACTATCATTATTATATGAAGCGGGAAAATGGATTAAATACTTTTTGGAACAGTCCATGCACTTTATGGCTTATAAAGAATTTGTGTGAAATAAAAATATTCATATGTATGCATGAAGTCATTTTTTAAGGAAATAAAGGTTCAATATCTCTCAAATTATATTCTTTCATCGTTAATAACTCTATTATTCTCAATAAAAATATGCATGTAGGAATGTGAAAGTACAGTGGAAAAATTATTACGAGAAATATTTGGTGACGATGATGCAAACGAGACCATGGATCCAGAAGATGTAGATACAGAGGGAGAAAACGACGCAGATGAAGCTATGTGGCACAAGTATGAGCCCCCCCCCTCTCTCTCTCTCTCTCTCTCTCTGCGCCACATAATCAAAAGCGCTTATAAAACCTTTATCTATATTTATATACGCTACATTACTCATTTATGTTTGAAGGAGAAACGAGCAAGACGAGGAAATCCATCTTGTAAAGGACAGGAGGTTTATCGTCGGCGAAAGGAAAATTCTCTACCTTATAGAAAGATCAACGTGTTCAGAGTGTGGAGAGCGCATTGATACATGTAATTCTACCATATAGGAGGGGGAGAAGATTGCTGCTGGTATAAAATACCAGTACCTCTGCGTTGTATGTATACAAAAAAGAAAAAAAAATCCAGGTTTCCAATCATCTTTGTGTGATATTTCCATTGATCAAAACATTTATATACGAGAGAAGTTTGAAAGGTACATAAAGCATTTACGATGAAACTACTTTAACCATCACGTGTATTCTTGGTAATTCATCCCCGTTGATATTTACATTTTGGAAAAACATGTAAATCATTCTTTCTACCAAATGTGACTGGTGTTAATCTCGATGTTGAAAGTTAGTTTTGTTTTCATTTTATAGAAATGACCTCTAAATAACATTTGACAAGTCTTTTGGACATAATTTGCAGACAAATTGGCGTTTTTCCATGTTACACAGGTGTATTGCATAAATACCTAACAGTATATGTGCATTTTTTATTTTTGTCTAAGATTCTATTCTAAAGTAAATACAAGTAATTTATTCGTTTAAAAAAACGTTATGAAAAATAACACTACATGGATATAAAGCACTTTTTATATTACTGCAAATGTATAATATTATATTTTACTACCTTAAATATTACGTTGAAAAATGTTAGTCATTTAACATTTTTTTTTTTTTGATAAAAAAAGAAATAAAAGTGGGCGTTTCATTTAAAATTCTTGGGTGATTTGTCAGACAACAAAAACGAAGTACATAGCAGTAATTCAGTTCAGCTAAGGAACGTCCTCCTCTGTGTAAGGAGCACCTGATATGTAAGTGATATTGATAGAAGTAAAATAAGAAGTGGAAAAGATTAAAAAAGGATATAACCTGATGTCACCTATTCAATGTACAATATCTGCGCAAGGCATGTTTGTTCAAATTTAAAAGTTTTACGAGCTAAAATAATGCAGGGCAATAATTAATATTATCCCTAGGTATATTAATATGACTTGTATTTCGCGGAATACACTAAACCTTCCCTTTCTGTATATGAACCCTCTTTTCGACGAAGTCTTCATTGTCACTGATCTCTTAGTATCCGTTGAGGTAGAAAAAGATCACAACTGCATCCAGAAATACAGTGACTATGTAACTGGAGCCGTGACACGCACACACAAACGTTCTGGTCTCGGCAGTAAGAATTCAGTCGTAACTGATACACAAGTTATCATGTTGAAGAGACATACCTTTTAAACTATATTTAAATCGACTGTAAACATGTAGCAATTTTGAAAATTGCTGAATATTAGAGTTGATTAAATTATATAAAAGCATCCTTCCTTGTTGAGAATTGGAGCAACAAAGCAACATGGCTGACGGAAAACATGTTTTAATCTAATTGCTATTTATTGTTTCGGAAGTTAGCTGATTAAGTTTTCGGTAATGATATAAAAATATTTTCGGTATTGATAACAAATATTTTGGGTGATGCAATATCGATTTTCAGTAATACAACACTCTGTCTGATCATGAGCTAACCCAGTTGTTAAATGGCAATAATTCTATATTTAACTTTTTAATTGATCAATGAAATGTTGAAACAGTATTACTTACAGATTTTGGAACCTTCAGATCATGAGATCAATGTACAGGTCCGAATGAATGTTTTCTGTCTGTATCAGTTGCCTTTCTGTATTAAAATTCCAGTGGGTTTACACGTAAGAAATGGCAGAAGAGTAAATATTTACCACGAAAACATTTTCTTGGGCATTGATGCCTTTGACAAAAACTTAAGCGTCCTCCACAGACCGTGCCTTGTGACGTAAAATACTTTTACTTCCGGTTTTGTGTAGTTTTAATTCGTGTACTGACAATTTGCCTGACACCACCTGTGAGAGAACTCTTTAAAGATGAAGGTTAGTACATGTATGCAGAAAATTGAGAGCGACATCCTAGCTGATCATAAACAATTAATGAACACATGAGACTATCAAGGTGTGACCGAACGAAAAAGGTGTCGATTTTCTCAATAAAAGATCGGTAGACGTTTGAGTTTTTTTTAGCATAATAATACATAACTATGAATAACAGGCATATCTGTGAGGAACATTTTATCTTTTTTATACTTTTAGGCTAATCAATTCATTGCAATTTCGTTAACAAAGTCTTTTGTATAAGTTATTATTTTGCACGCTTACCCATCTCATTGTGTGTTTATAAATATTGATAAATAGTGTTCATTGCTAGTTTTGCTCATTTATATCTGTCCAGTTCAGTCTCAATAAAGTAACTTGCAATTGAGTATGATGACGTATATGGAGACTTACCAAAGATTTGTGTCCTGGATAATGGGAAAGATAACTCGAAAAAGGAAATTTGATACCAAGGATTTTGAAAATAATTTTTCTACATCAATAAATTTGATTTTTATTCAATTTCTCGTAATTTAATTCAGTAGTACATCTCCTATTTTATCAGAAGTCCTAATTGTTCGCCCATGTATTTTAGAGAAAATAAGTCATGATAATGAGATATAATATTTATTTTTATTAACTTTTATTAATTCATTTTAAAAAATATATTGACGGATAAAATTCAAATTTTTGGTTGTTTTGTGAGTTTAAAGATATATGCCAGAAAAAAACAAAATTTGTTGTGCTACTTACCAAAACTCGATTGGAAAAATATCTTAAAATTTATGAAATTAATTTTTTTTTAAATCAGTATATATTATATTTTAATTCCTGGCCAGTTTTTAAAGGTCGATTTGCTTGTTAAAAGTAATGCTCAGTAATGTGAGAACATAAGCTGCGGGTATATTGAGGACCCTTAAGTCAAAAACTGGAACATCTATTTTTAATAGGAGGGTCGTTCAATAAGTAATGCAACATGATATCTGAAATATTTTTGCTCACGTGTTTCATACCAATTGTAAGACCCTTTGTTTATATATTGAATTTGACTAGGGAATGTTCCGTCTACCAGATGAATACATTGGGCTTACGGCGGATGAGACAGGTCAACAAGGTATGCTTACTCCTCCTAGACACCTCATCCAACCTCTGGAATTTCCAGGGTTCCGTATGTTATGCCCTTATCATTGATTTGAATTTTCACTGATCTGATTTTTTTTTTTAGATCACTGTTCGTTATCTTCACCTTTTTTCTTCACCAAGCACTCGACACTTTGAAGTGTAAGTCGCGGGTCAATCGAATGTTAAAAACAGAGGCCCCGTGTCACAGCTGACGTTGGCACGCTAAAACTCTCATTGTTCAATGCCCATGAGTGCCAAGTAAAGGCCTAAGTTACAAGTATCAGATGACGTCTCAAATGAATAGAATAATCTTGCACGTAGAACAATCAATCATGACGTTATAAAAGCGTACACTGTTATTTCATTTATTACGTCACAATAGCCTATGAAATGCTCACTAACATGTTTTGAAACATTTTTGTGACGTCATCTTTTAATTAACTTGAGCTCTGTTGACGAAAGAGCTTGCGACAAAGTATAAAAATCTGCATAGTTTGAAAAAATATTACCAACTTAATAGTTTTGTTAGATTATACTCATATAAAATCATTTAACTAAATTCTTCTAAATCAAATAAAAATCATTGTTATTTAACAAAGGGCGATGCAGATAAATACATAGAAATGAAAAGGTTTGATGAATCAAACAATTTAATATGAGCAATGCAGGATATTATTAGCGTAATTCTAAAGGACTTTAACACAGGTTTGATGTTAATATTTTCTCAAATTTTCTGTTGCTTGAGCATTTCAAGCGGAAATATAATAAAAGCGTGTTCAGAAACTTTTTTTTATCTAGAAGTTCTGAAACATTGTTTCACGTTAAATCCAACTTTATCCGACTTAATCCATCCCACTAACCAAATTTCAACTGATTTTGGGATCCAAGTTTGTATTTTTGGATAATAATTTAAAGTTTTCTTTCGGAGAATAGTTGCTCGACTACTCCAGCGTTGTTTTGAGTGAGTTCTTACCGTTGTTTCTGAGGTGGAGTAAAATTCTATTAAGGCAAAGTCGAGAAACTATTTTAAATTCAAAAATATCAGAAAAAAATATCTTTATTTCACAGTAAAAAATTAAAGCTTAAAGGGTGGTTGGAGTAAAATCCTTGAAATCCTGCGGTTTTGCAAAATCGAGGAATTGTTTCTTGCAAACTCCAAAATATCAGAATATTTCCAGATTTCATAATAGAAAAAATTTCAAGCTGGGGTTTGCATTTTTGTTTTCTCTATTACTGACCTCGTCAAAAATATCTGAATCTTACAAGACATGTAAGACATCCCTTTTTAAATAAGGTTTCAGCAATAAAGATCAATATTAGCTCTCAGTTTTTTTTAAGAATAATTTTTGGTATTTTTTTAATAGAAAAATGATAAATTGTTTAACTTGCAAATAAGATGCTTAAAATTTGTGTTTATAAATGCATTATATAAATATGTATTAGAACATGTCAAAGAAGTCATATTCTACGTCTGAAAATCCAACTAATACTCATCGTTCACATTTTTAAGGCTGAAATTCTTCAAAATCACATTCCAATGAACCAAGGTAATTTCTATCTACCCCACATATACTGGATTCCAAAACTTCATACATATCCTTTCAAACAATGATATATCGTCGGGTTTAGCAAATGCTCTACCAAGCCCCTTCCTTTGCTTCTTATAAAAGTATCAACTGCTATAAAGGAAAAGACGTACTGTGCTATAGCATATTCTAGAAGAGGTATACATCAGATATGGATTCTTAAAAACTTAAAAGAACTTTTAGAAAATTTAAAATCAGAAGTCAATAACATCAAAAGGTACGACATTTCAACATACAACCATTCCTCGCGATAAAATAAAAAATTAGGCTTTTTGATATCATAGACATCTGCTTCTTCAATAAAACTCAGTCGGTAGAGCGCTCGCTCCGTGATCGGGAGGTCGTGAGTTCGAATCTCGGCCGCGACTGACCTAAGACGATAAAAAATGGGTAGCAACTGTTCCTTCGACGTACGCTATACAGCACTTGGCAGCGACAAAAATAAGTGTGTGCTTCTTCTAATGCAGGAGAGTAAGATACCAAAGAGATTTACAACAGTTGCACAGGTCAGTGCAGTATACAAACAAACACAAATATACGTAACTGCAATAAAATGTAAACAAAAGTAATGCAAGATAACCAGCACGAACACGGGTCGCCATTTATGCCGATACCCGTAACAATAAAGCAGTCAGGTGTAACGAATGCGAAGAGTATACCCTGGTGCTGATATCTTAGATAGCAATATCGAAAATGGCGTATGCCTTTAAGTCTACCTGACCAATATAAAGGGATCACGGTGGATGTGACCGGTCGCCAGGGGATGCTTAGGCGCTGATCCCACCTCTGGAATTCCAGGGGTCCGTGTTTTATTCCCCGTTCACAGATCTGTATTGTTTGTAGGGTTTTTTAAATTCGATTACTTCACCTTTTTCATTACATTATTCACTTCAATTCCTTTGTCATAAAAATAGGATCTTTCAAACAGTACAAATACCACGGAAATACAATGATATCTATGATGTAAAAAAAAATCAGTAATAATTATGATGCACATCACATCAATTGAATTTTTTTTTCATTGGAGAAGGATGGTCATAAATGCCTTTGAAATATATGCATTTATATAGGTTACAAACCAATGCAAGAAGAACTATCAGTTCTAAGTACATACATTGTATCCTTCAGCATAGAAACACTTTGGACCTAATGGAGTGTTGACATAGATGTGCTGGCAATACTGAAGAAAACATGGATCTAAGGGAGAAGTGACATTCATTACTAATTTACTTACTATAATTACTGGAGAAACTCACAGACCTAAACATTAAGAAAATAGGGAACTCGTTCTTTATGGTTACATGTATTTGTAAATGATTTATATGTAGGGTATAGGTAAGGTTATTTTAAAAGTCATTTTTATGCTTGCAGTGATGAATGATATAACGATCATCACAAATTTATCTTCCGAGCAGAAAACAGTCATAGTACTCAATATACATGTAAAAAATATAATATCGAAGTGTTATCAACTATACAATTAGTTTGAAAATTTGGAAGTGACATAGGTATTAGTTAAACTTTGGTTTCACCATCATAAATCGCTAAAATAAATGGATCGCCTACTTGTATTGACATACAAAATTTCTCCTGAATTGAAGTCAATACGACCTACTGTACATATATAATAACAGATCTGTTCTCTCCATCTAAAGAGGCTTTTTTCTATTCGACAACTCGGTTGGTTCTCAGGAAGAAAAGCAATTTAAAATACAAGATGGATACAGCTTAAAGTATAAAGTACAGCTTTTTGTTAGATATGGCATGTATAAGAGACATTTTAGATTGCAACCTTAAATTACCCCAACCCCCAAAATATTTCCTATATATCTTAATTATCTTTAAACAGTTAATGTTACTTTCAAGGACAGGCAGTCCAAATACCTAAGTATTTAATACGTCATAATCTTTTGTCATGACTAGCCCCCTGTCGTGAAAAAAATATTTAGTATTATTATATATTTGTAGATATATATTCATTCTGCCATAAACTTTAATTGTTAACTGTATAGATTTCCATTCCAGCAGATAAGAACAAAATTTTATTCCTAGGATCAGCTG